AGCTAAGAGTGTCTGAGGTTTGCTGTCGACTCCTTCTCCACTTCCTCCCCCAGCCAAGAGAAATTCCTGGGAAGAATAACTAAGCAAGAACCTGGCCACAATAACATGAGAGTTTATTATCACATGACTGCTTAGGAGGCAACATGAATCGGAGCAGGATGGGGAAGGGGTGCAAGGAATGGGCAAGTGATGCTAGAGCAGGGCTGTGGCTGTGGTCCTAGGGGCAGGATAACTGGGGCTGTTGAAGAGTCTCTTTTTCCCAGTCTGGTTCTTCTTCCAGCAGTCAGATGCAGGGACTCCCAGTGCAGGAGCACCAGGTGTTATTATCGGGAGAGCCACAGCTAGATTCCACTCACTTCTAACATCTCCTTCTTGTCTTTTTTCTAAGGGAGGAGGAAGGGCAAGACAACAGTCAGTGGGAGAGAAAGGGTGGAGTCTCTCCTCCAGGGCAGCTTAGCTGTGAGCTACCAGAATCAGCTGTGTGGTACCTGATGCAAAGGCATAGCACGGATATGGACTTCCCCAAATTCCTGGGCTCTTTGGCTTGGGGGCCACTTTGTTGGGGACAGGGGCTTTCTGGACTGGGCCACCACTGGGGTAGAAAGACAGGCATGATAGTACTTGGGATTTGTGTCATGGGCCCCTTTCTCCTCCCCAAACTGTCCACTGTCCATTCCTGTCTCCTTTGAGCAGCTCCACTGCCCCCAACACACAGGCACACACTTGAGGAACTCACCTTTTTGTCTGAGAATATCCTCCAGCAGTACAGCCCCAGAGGGGCCAGGGATGCCAGAAGCAACAGAATCCAGACAGCCAAGAGCATGGCCTGAAGGGTAATGAACAGGGCCTGGGGACAGAGGACCAACGCCGTAAGCCCAGGATGACGGCTGCCTTTCCGCTCTGTCCCCATGCTCCTTGCTGATCTGGGGCAACCTCTACCCCTTTATCTCCAAGTTTATGGCTTCAAGAGGGGAAGTCAATGCATCCAGTGTGCAGAATGCGACCGGAAACCCTTCACACTGGGCCTGTGTCCTCATTTGTACAGTGACAGGTTTGGGCTATGATTTGATTCCCTATAACCTCTAAGACTGGAAAGGACCAAGGGAAAACATGCATTGAACATCTCTGCAGCACTTTACACTTACAGGATCGGTTCATTTATTATTTTGATGCTTGTATTTCCCACTAGTCTGTAATACCCACAACTGCAGGAGCCACTTCTGTTTTGTCTGATACTTTGTCTTTGGTGACAATAATCAAGCTTGGTGTAACACCTATTTCTGGTGAAGAACCTAACTCTTGCCCCCAGCCTGGCCTGGCCATCCCTGCCCCACCTGCTGCTGCCCTCCCCCTTGGCCACCTGCCTCCAGCATGTCCAGGAGGGAGATACACAGTTGGAGCCTTCTGACTTCTTCTGGACTCTTAGTGGGGGCTGGGGTGTTGTACCAGTAGCTCGAGGTGGAGATATTGCACATGCTGCTGTAATAGTTGTTGTATCCCAAATCTGCGTTCCAAAGCTTGAGGGCAGCAACGGCTGTGCAGAAAGCTGCCAAATCTAGCACACTTCTCAGCAGAGACTGGGGAGGGAGGAGGCAGAGAGAAATCTTCGTGATTCAGTCTCTCCCAGAGTCCAGTCTGGGGAAAAGAGGGCAAGGCCCAGAGAAGCCTGTGATAGGGCAGGAGATTGGGGTGGCCTCCAGCCTGAGGCTGGTCCCCTCCCATGCCCTTCTCTGAACTCACCCAGTAGGTACCACGCCGTGTCTCATAAATGAAGGCAGCAACTCCAGCCAGCACAGCCTGGGGAGAGATTGAGCCAGTAGGATGCTTAGCACAGGGAATTCGAGTCCCCTCCCATGAGAGAGACTCCGTGCAGCAGGCCCTTCCCCAGCACACTCTGCTTGGGCCGGAGGTTTCATGCTAAGCCTTTTTATCCACGGTAAGGTTAACTGCTGAGAGGGTGGAGCTGGGATCCAACTCCCGAGGCCGCAGAAGGCCCTGCTTTAGTGACGCCCAAGAGCCTGTGGTCAAGCCAGGTGTGAGCCCCTCTTCCTTCTCTAAACCTTCCTTTTTAAACAACAGCAAGTGCTTTATCAAAGTTCTAGGGATGGTGGGATCTTGTGGATAAAGTCATAGGGTGCTGAAGAAAGTCTCAATAAAGGGTGAATCTATACAGGGTGGGCACGGTTAGGTCTAGAAGCCTGTCCTAACAGTGCCCAGTGAACCATTCAACTGGGCTTCAAGAACAGGAAATCTAGTATATCCCAGTGGACAGGTGGACCTGAATCCTGTTTGGCTAATTCTGTAACTAATTCGGGTATTTTGCCGTAGGTTGGGTGAAGGTGATTATCAGTAAATATGTGTGTTATACTGCTATTCTGAGGGTGTAGGTACCAGGACCAGTCCACCCAGCCCCTGTGCAAATTGTACACACCCATCTATTGACAATACTTCATGGATTCCTACTGTGTGCAGGGCCTGTGGAGGACAGTGGGACTAACCAAGGGGTGACGCTTCCTGGGCGATCGCATACTATCTGCACGTTCTGCCTCCCCCATCTCAACACAAGTATCCGGAGATGGGCAGGTCCTTAGATCCTTAGGTGACATTTACTGCTGAGGCCGGGACAGGCAGCCAGCCTGATGGGAGCAGCACTGGGCAGGTGTTGGGAGAGCAGACAGTGTGACTAGGACATGCCGCCACTGCCCTCCGCTGTTTGCTCATCTTTACAGGCAGGGAATGGGCCTAGATAATCAGATCTTTCTGACTGCCAGCATTCTGTGGTGCCATGTTGGAGGAAGGCAATCAGGAGAGTAATGTCCCCACACCCCCCACAGGCTGTTGAGCACCGTCCTGCTCTACTCACCACGGCCCCTGTCCAGATGGCAGCTCCCGAGGAGACCAGGAGGGTGAACCCGCGCATGTACAGAAATCCTCCGAGGACCCCACTCAAGATCCCCAGCACGATCTGCATCACCTGAATGATAAAGGACCCAAGATCCTGGCTCCTAGGAGGACTTGCCCCTGTGGGGATTAACGGCTAAAACCCCAAAAAGAGGTGGGGGAGAGAGAGAGAGAGAGAAGAGAAGGAAGGAAGAGGAGGAGGAGGAGAAGGAAGAGGGAGGAGGAGAAGAAAAAGGAAGGTGGAGAAGAAAAGAGAAGGGAGAGGAAGGAGAGAGGAGAGTGGCTCATCCTGAGTTTGGCCCAGAGGAAAGGATGGATTCAGGGCTCCACCGCCTGGAACTCTGCATGGTCAGTGGCTCCTCCACACCCCATTCAGCCCAGAGCCTCCCCTCCCCAGGCTCTTACTGAGAAGGCCAGAGAAGCACATCCCTAAGTGAGAAGCACATCCCTAAGTGAGAAGACACAAAAGTGTACTTTTCAGAGGGAGGCTGGCAGAGGGTGCTGCTGTGGCAGGAGGGGGGCCCTTATGTTGGTCTGCTGTGAGGGGACTAGGGAGTCCCTTCCACAGCCCCACAAGGCAGGCTGCCACACTCACCCACGAGGTCACCAGCAGCCGGCTGCTGCCCCTGGCCTGGGTGGCCAGGGGCCGCAGCGCAGAGCAGCAGGTCAGCAGGAGCTTGGCCAGGGCAGATTCCTGGTGGATGTGCACATCGACGTGGGTGGGCTGTGGGGTCTCCGGGGCCATCTCATCACTGTCGGCTGTCCCCATGGTCAGGAATACCCTCTGTGAGGAAGGAAGCACCAGGGAGGAAGGGCTGTCAGAAGACTTTTGTATATTTCATTGGAGTTAGGGAGGTCAGGGGCCAGTGGGGCTCAGGGTAACCGAATGAATGGCTGCCCTGGTCACAGAGCCACACCTTGGCCCCCTCTCAAGGGAAGTGTGTGTAGCAGAGGGGGCTGATGACCATGAGGGGGCTGTGGCGACTGCTGAGCCTGCGGGAACCTCCCCTTTCGTCCCAGATCTGCCCTGTCTCCCGCATCCTCCTCGAAGAGCTCTGGCGTTTGGGTCTAGCAGCGCCCGGGTCTAGCAGCGCCCGACGCCCCCACCCCTCACCCCCTCCACCCGGGCTCTTCCTGTGGCCTCCCCTCCACAGCCTCCCCTTGGCTGCCAGTGGAGCTCCTGTGGAGCAGCCTCGCCCAAGCTGGGCCCCGGGTCCTCCACCCCCACCCCACCAACCTCCCGCTCCAGGGATGGCTGCTTAGGCCCGACGGGTTCACGCTGCCCATGCCCTGGGAAGGACCGCGCTGCGGTGCAGAGGGAGGTCAGAGGCCGGGGCCGCACCTGGCCTACTCCGCAGCCCCCTTCCTGCAGTCTCATCCCCGGGTGGGGGTCCCTCCTACCCCCCGCCAGCTGTGCAGAGGCAGCTCGGTGCGTGCTGAAAGAGGCCCGGGGGCCATCGGGCGTGGGGCGCCACCTCACCTGCGCTCCTCGGGACCTTCGTGCGGGAGGCGGGAGGGCTGGGGCTTCGGCTGGGACGGCGGCGGGAGGGGAAGTGTGTCCGGAGTTGGAGGGGTAGGCGGAGGCGGGGGTGGGGCTGAACTTCAGACCCTCGGGTTCCTGGCAGGCGGCTGGTCCTGGGGTCCGTCTGGGGCTCTCCCGCTGCGCGTGGGTCACTGGGCTCTGGGGAGCTGGGAGGGTGTGCGGGCGGCCGGCCCTGGGAAAGCCCGTGGGGGTCATCCTCGCCCACAGCCCCACCCGGCCAGGGCTGGCGTGCAAGTGTGCGCGAGTGGGAACGCAGGGCGCGCGCGGGGGCCTCGGCCTCCCCCCGCCGGGTCCGCTCCTCCTGGCGGAACCCCCCTGCGGGGCCCCGGGGCTGAAGCTGGTTTCGGGAAACCTCGCAGCCTGGGCGGGGCCGCAGCCCCCACCCCTGTCTCCGCCGTCCCCGCCCTCCCGCCGCTCCCCTGCCCTGGGTCAGCTCCTGCGGGCTCTGCTAGGCCGCTGGCTCCCCGAGGACGCAGGTGAGGCAGGGGTGGGGCCGGGAGACCCTCTTGCCACAGGACCCTCTGTCCGGAGGAGTCCCCAGGGCCATGCCCCCGACCCGTTCTGTCCACAGGACGCCTTTTTTCCTCCATCCTGGTTTCCCCGAGGACTCGCATGGGAGGGTGCAGGAGGTGACCCCAGAAAAGCTGCTGGAGAGTGGGAGGAGAGGCCTGGGCCTGGCGCGTCTCCTCCACCTTCCTCCGCCCCGCATGCTTGGCCCCTGGCTGGAGCCCTTCGGTTGGGTGGCTCCTGGGACGGGGCCAGGGTGTGGCGGGGCTGCCGGACACTTTCCCTGGAGGGGGCGAGGCAGATCTAGGGGTTGACGTGGGGTGGGGGAAGCGGTGGTCCTGGGGACCCGGAGGTAGCTGGAACCTGAGATACGCTCAGGGCAGGGCCCGGGCCTTCAAGGGAAGGTCTGGCTGGAATCCGGGGCTGGGCTTCCTTTGTGGGAATCAGTCTAACGCTCCTTTGTGCGTCTGCGGATTTGTCCAACTCCTGTCCTTTGTAACCCCAAGGAGGCCAGGTAGGTGAAAGAGTGAAACTGCTCTGAAAAGTAAGTGGAGTACGAATGGGAGGTGTTATTCGAATTGTTAATAATATTGGATTTAAACTGTTTAAACTGTGATGCTTAGCGAGGATGTCCATTAGAATTGCTTATGCAGTCAGTATTTTAGAGCCAGGCAAGCTGATTCTAAAGTGCAGGTGAAGAAGTCACCTAGCAAAAATGGCCTTGACAATTCTGAAAGAAAAAGCCCATGAGGGGATCATGAAACAGCCCCATTAGCTTTAAGTTCCATATTGAAATTGTGGTAATGATGCATAACCCATGAGCTATGCCAACGGGCAGAATATGAAGTCTAGAATAGGCCTGCATTCCTAGGGGCTATTTGCTCAGGAGAGAATTTTAAATCAGTGAGGAAAAGAGGATGTATTTTCTACAAATGCAACGGATCCTTCAGAAGTCAAACATCTGAATGAAAGCAACAGAGCTGGGATCCGTGTCTCCCAACGGCCAAGGTTGGGCTTCCAACTCCCAAATTCCAGGTGGGTCAGCATTTAAAAGTGAAAGCTGAAAGCGTAAAGCCACTTAGAAGAAAATATGGAAGAATTATTTTATAATCTTGAAACGGGGAAGTCCTTTAAAAGTGTAAGAGCTAGACACCATAAATAGAATGAAACTTGAATTGTATAATACAAGCAAGTTCAAAAAATAAACCACAGATTGTAAAGAAACATTTGAAACTCATATCACAGATGGTACTTTTTTTTGAATAAAGATCTTCCATAAGAAACAAACAAAAACATAGGGTGTGAACGGGGAGCTCACAAAATAAAAAATTAAAATGGCCCTTAATGTATGAAAAGACGATGAACCTCACTCATAGTAAGAGAACAACGGGCCAGGCGTGGTTGTAATCGCAGCACTTTGGGAGGCTGAGGTGGGAGGACTGCCTGAGTCCTGGAGTTTGAGGCCAGTTTCAGCAACAAAGCAAGACCCCCATCTCTCTCTCAAAAAAATAACAGAGAACGATGGGTTAAAAATATGTGGAAATAAAGACTAAAAAAAAATATGTGGAAATAGTTACAGAAAGCAGGCTGTTGGTTGCCTGTGGCCAGTGTTGAGGGTATTTACTGGGGAGGGGCTTTAGGGAGCATGTTGCATTGTAGAAATGTCCTATATCTTGATTGCAGCTGTAATTGCACAAATGTATAAATCTGTCAAAACCCATTAAGATATACATTTAAAATGGGACATCTTATCACAGAATTGATGAAAATCTACAGTAGAATGCCATTTTCCCCATATAAATGAAAAAGATAAAAAGAGTTTGCCTCCTGTATGTGAATTGCTACCACCTCCGAGGAGGGTAACTGACAATATCTACTAAAATTGCAAATGCACCTTCCTGTTGCCCTGCCAATTCCACATTGTCTGCAATGGAAATGGATCAGAAATAACCTAAATGTCTGCCAATAGGGAACCACTTAAATAAATTATGAGGAATTCATACTCTGGAAATGGAAGCAGTGACACAAATCAGTGAAGAAGCTTTTGTGAAAGTTGTCAGAATCAGAATAGAGCCACTTGTGTTAAAAAAAAAAAATCTGAAAATTAGAGCCTGGGAAGGCCCACAAGGCAGGATTCTCCTGTATAAATACCTGGTAACAAAATCATCACAAAGAACTCTGTAAAATGATGACTTTACACAAAGGCCATCACAACCTGACACAAAAAAATGCTTCTGCAAGGACGTTCACCAGCGATTGCCTGTCTCACCCTGGACGGGACTGTCTCACCCTTGTTATTGGTCCTTAGGGCCAGGGATAATCATCTCAAAGCAATTATGTAAGTCTCTTTTCTTTACACACTTTTGTCTTCCTTTACCTCCCTGAATGTGCACGTGATTTACTATGGCAAGCATATCCCCATTGCGATGCCCTATTCCTGAATAAATCTCATTTTCATTTGGAGAGCCTCCCTCTGTTGTTTAGGTTGACACTTTTTACGGACTCACGTAGGATTATTCTAAAAGCATATGATGATGTGAGCACAGCATCCTGCAAATCAGTGTCTGTGGCATGCTGGTATTTGTGGGGAAAGTGGGGAGAAATAGTTTTTCACACTTTCATATGCAAAAATGTCATTGTAGGATTTATATGAAACTGATAATAGTACTTTCCATCTGCAAGGCAAATAGTGTTTGAGGGAAAAATGAGACAGAAGGTTTTAAAGGTATATACACCCTGTTGTATCTCTCAAATGTGTACGTGTAAAGTATTATGTGTGAAGATACATTCACATATACTAAATTGCTGAGGTCACTGTGATTGCTGTACTTCCAAAAGAAAGACCCTTTGGAGCTTGACAAAGACACTGTTTGTTTGATTTTTGAGACGGAATCTCACTCTGTCACCCAGGCTAGAGTGCAGTGGCATGGTCTTGGCTTGCTGCAACCTCAGCCTCCTGGGTTCAAGTGATTCTCCTGCCTTAGCCTCCTGAGTAGCTGGGACTACAGGTATGCACCACCATGCCCGGAGAAGTTTTGGATTTGTAGTAGAGAGGGGGTTTCGGCACATTAGCCAGGCTGGTCTTGAACTCCTGACCTCAAGTAATCTACCCGCTTTGACTCCCAAAGCGCTGGGATTACAGGCGTGAGCCACCGTGCCCAACTGGGATTTTGACAAAGACACAGTTTCTCTCCTCTCACTCATGCTGTGTATTTTTCCCTCACACCTGGTTCCCAGACCTCACTTCTGTATGTCTTTTCCCTGGCAGGCAGGATGGCCCAAAACATGGTGACGGTGAATGGTGTTGCTGTGTCCTCTACACCATACCAGCCCACCTACGTCAATATCCACATCCACCAGGAATCAGCTTTGACACAACTGCTGAAAGCGGGAGGTTCTCTGAAGCAGTTTCTTTTTCGTCCTGGCAACACTGCACCTTCCAGAGCTGGGATAAGTTACAAGCAGCTGGCTCTAGGGGTAAGAGTGGGCTGGTGCGGGGTTGCGGGGGCACATTAACGAGGTGATGTTAATTAACGAGGCCAATTAAAATATAGATCTAAATCTTTGAAATGAAAACATTTTATTTTAAGGAGAGAATTGCAATTTGGGACATACATACAGACCAAGTGGTCTCCAGTATGTTTTTAAAACAAAGAGAAGGTCAGAGGTTTATAAAAAGGAGAAATGTTACATATTGCCCTCCAAGAAAGATCACTGGCTTTGGGGAGCTGGCAAGCTCTGATGGGTGAGCAATGGTGTGGGTAAAACTAGTCCTAGAGTTGTAGCAAGGTATCTCAGAAGCTGTAGGTAAAGCTGGCTTCAGGTTATAGCAGCTGCAGCAGCCTGGCTTGCAGAGAATTACATTTTGTGTCCTGAGTGCTTTTTGCCCCTGGTCTCTCAACTCTGTTTTAGTTGAGTGTGACAAGAGTGATCCCATGTGCAGGCTCAGCTCTCATAATGGAAACTCTCCTTCTTCGAATGGATGCACAAAAAGGAAAGTGGGTTGAATTCCCATGAGAGAGACATGAGAAATCACTATGTATATCTCATCTTGTGTAAGAAAAAGTTGTAATTTCCCCACAGAAATTTGGAAGGAAAGGAACCTCTTCTTTGACACAGAGGAGTCGGTCTGAGCCAAAGGTGGGGCAACAGGAACAAGAGCCTAAAGGCTGTTAAGTCAGTTTCATTTCCACATGGACTGAGAGCCCACGGGTGCAAGGCAATGTGTTTAGCACTCAGGCCAAACTGCAGAGAGAATCCCTGGGCTGTACCTAAAAGTGCTCAGTGTCCTTCAGAAGGAACAGCAGCTATACCAATGACTGGAACTAAAGTGTATCAGGCGAGGGAGAAGCACATCTGACATCCTTGAGGCAGAAGAAACCTGAGTGGAGAAGGAATAGGTATAGACAGAGGTGGAAGATGGACAAAAAAGAATTCCAGGTTAATGAATGGCAGGAGCAAAGGCAAAGAGGCCAGAAGGCGTAGGGCAAGATCTATAATGGTTGAGTAGAGAGAATGGGCTTCATGAATGGGCGATTTGAGGCCATATTGCTGAGAACCTTGAAAGGCCAGGTGAGGAGTGTGTCCTGAATCAGCTTCGACAGTGAGAAGGTTGTGGATGGATTCTAAGCTGGAACCTGCTCAGAGTCAGGAGGCATCCAGACGAGAAGGATCGAGGGTCTGCACTCCCATAATCATACAGGAATGGTGAGGAGACAAAGGAGTCCCTGTCCTTTGTGGCTCTCCACGGCATGGGAGTGAAGGGGTTTGGGGCATAAGGGAAGAGAGGCATCCACAACACTCAGAGGTTTGAGTGTGGGTGACCAGGAGATCGGAGCCCTGAAAGTCAGGAGGAGCAGAATTCGAGAGACGCGGGTGTGTGTGTGTGTGTGTGTGGTGAAGGGGTGTGGGATTTGGATGTGACAAATCTAAGATACCAGTAGGATGTGCAGGTGGTGATAGTTGGGTTCTCCAGGAAGGAGTTCTCTTCTGAGTCGGAGTTGTGCATGCGAATGGCTTATTGAGGTCTGACACCTACGAAATGAGAAGAGAGGGAGCAGGATTGGCGAGGAGGAACCGTCAGGCTGCATTACAGACTCTGCCAGCCCAGCATGGAGCTCCCAGGCAAAGGCTGCCCATTGCAGAAGCTCCACACTAGGTGGACATGGCCCTTGAGCCTCTGTCTTGCTTAATCATTGGCTGGGGGACCCTCCCCAGCATGTGTCCTCAGCTTGGAAGATTAGGGTGGCCTGGAAGGAGCTGAGAACTGTACTTGCTCAGCAATCAATCGCACAAGCCCTTTCTCGAAGCGGGTCTAAGCAGCACATCTTTGTGTCTGCCACAGAGCCCTCCAGAGGATGTGTCTGGATCTGAAGAGGAAAGATAGGGCAGAAGCTAAGGTCAGGCTGGGGGTTTGGATGGGACAATGGGACCTCTGAGGGAGAATGGGGAGAAAAAGTGGGAATCTTCAGGTGGGATGAGAAAGTATTGAAGTTGGGAAAAAGTGATGAAGGATAAATAGCCAAGCCTATGAGAAGGGTGAGGGGAGGTCCAGGCCAGTGCTGCTTCATGGATTTTAAGGGGACAGAACCTTCCTGAGAAGGGTGAGGGGAGATCCAGGCCAGTGCTGCTTCATGGATTTTAAGGGGACAGAACCTTCTAGAATCAGAGCTACAGAGAGGTCAAGGCAAAGGAAAAGGAGAGGAAAGCCACCTAGGTAGGAGCCAGGCAGTTGCTCCTGGGGCAGCTGGAGCACGGGGGCTCATGGGAGGAGCCTGGTTTCTCATCCTGTCTTGCAGGTAACTCAGATATTGCTGGGGCTGGTGAGCTGTGTCCTTGGAGTGTGCTTCTGCTTGGGGCCCTGGACTGTGCTTCGTGCCTCAGGCTGTGCCTTCTGGGCGGGGTCTGCGGTGAGTAAGGAACAGGCTGTGAGCCCTATGGGAGGCAAGTGGTGATGGGCAAGAAGGTGCTTATGGATCTAGGTTGGGAATTTGGGGACATGACCAACCTGGGGCCAAATGGCCCTTGGCCATGAGGAAGCTTCCCTGGGGTGTGGATAAAATCATGTCACTTCCATTTTTCTCTTGAAGACAGGCGGGAGGGTAGGGCAGGTGTAGGTGGAGTCCTGCTGTGTGTCAGAGTTCTTTGTCCCTGGGATCCTGCTTCACATTGACTGTCTGGGAACGCTGGTGGGAAGGTGGTAATAGACCAATTTAGAAGAGTAAACTGGAGGCCTTTTTCTGGTGTATTCTCTTTTCAGGCGATTGCAGCAGGAGCTGGGGCCATTGTCCATGAGAAGCGCCGGGGCAGACTTGCTGTGAGTCTTGGACACCCTCTCTCCTCCACCTGTTCACAGACTCCCTCCTGAGTCCTGCTCCGTTACGTCTTATGCCCTTTGGTTGCCAATATCTCGGGATCTTTCTTGGAGGGGAGGAGAGGGTTTCCTGGATAGGGTTTGGGGAAGAGATGGGTTTGAAGCAGGAACATCATGACTTTTCCACCGACTGAGAGCGCCTCCCTCTCTTCCAGGGCTACGTATCCAGCCTGCTCACTCTGGCAGGCTTTGCTACAGCGGTGGCTGCTGTTGTTCTCTGCGTGAACAGCTTCTTCTGGCAAACTGATGACCTTTCCTACATTGACACTGTGTGTGATTCCCCGGACCCTGCCATCCCTACCACTAAGTACGGATGGATGCGGCAAGCAAGACAGAATATCAGTTGGCAGCAGACAGATTGTCGAGATCACATGCGGTTGCTGAGGGTGAGCAGGAAGAGTCCAGTCTTCAGGGACCTATCACAGCTCTTTGCTCCCAGGGAGCTGGGGGCGCTGGAGGACAGAGATGTAGGCACTTTGAGGTTGGACCTCATGCTGGGTCTTGTTCACGAGGTGTTAATGTAAGCTGCAGACATCTGTTAGACCTCAAGACATGAAGATTCTCTGCATCAAAGAGGATGAGGAACAAAGAGGAGGCATTTCATAGAGGAGCTAGCGGGCCACCCTTCTGGTTTTCCTGGTGTGTGGGTGTCCCAGGTTTTCATTACTGAATTAAAAACCACCCCAAAATGTAGTGGCTTAAAATGACAACTTATTCTTTCTCACAGTACTGTGGGTTGGCTGGATTCAGATGGGCAGTCATCACTCGCGTGTTTTCTCCTGCAGTTGCAGTCAGATGGGGGTGAAGTTATCCAAGCACTAGAGGAGGCTGGGGGTCTGAGACGATGCAGTTGAATGACCCAGAGCTCAGCAGGGGTGTCAGTGAGAGCCTTTGATGGCTTCTCCACGTGGCTTGGGCTTCTCATAACACGGAGATTGGGCTCCAGTGGGGAGCACCCCAGTAGTGAGCATTTCAGGAAGCAGAAAGTGGAAGCTGCCAGGCCAGCTAAGGGCTATTACCCCTTTCACTGTATAGTGTCACTTTCACTGTGGCCAAAGTTGTCCTAGGCCCTTCCAGATTCTAGGGATTGAAGGAATAGACTCCACTTCTTGACAGGGAGTGGTAAGGTCACTCTGCAGACAAGCCAGCGGGATGGAAGCTGTGGCTGGAAACAGTCAGCTCTGGTGGGAGAGAGTCAGCGCCTGGGTGGGTGGAGAGGGTGGGGATGTGCGCAGCACTGGAGCAGCTGACAGCTGACCCTTTTTTCTTCCCTTATCTCCAGAGGTTGTTCACAGCAATCTGTGCCCTGTTCCTGGCCGTCTGTATCTTGGAGGTCATTGTGTCCTTGGCTTCCCTGGGAGTGGGTCTTCGAAACTTGTGTGGTTGGAGGAGCTCCCCACCCCTGGTGAGTTGTTGGGGAGAAGCTGCTAGGCAGTGCGGGTCTGGGTGGTGAGTGTGTGGAGCAGGTAGGAGTGCGGGGCCAGGGGCACCCGAACCCGAGCCTGGGCCTGGTCCCCCTCAGCTTCTTTCCATATGCAGCTCTCCCCTTTGCTGTCTGGGGAATGTGACAGTCACCAGGGTCCGGGGTCAACTCTTGCTGCCCTGTGCCTCTCTGCACCCTCCCCTGCCTTGATCTCCCCTGCTCTCCCCTCGGCCCTGTCCCAGGTGTTATCTGACTCCCCTTCCTCTGCCACCTTGTTTTTTGCCTGATCTGCATTTCCTGTCACCTCTTCCTTTCCCTCCTCCTTTCCTCTTTCTGCTTTCCGAGTTCTGTGACTCTAACTCTGCCTGCATTCCTTTCCCCTAAGGATTTCTTTTTTCTTTTTTTTTCCAGGATGAGGGAGGATCAGAGAAGAAGCTATTGGGGGAGAATTCAGTGCCCCCCTCTCCCTCTAGGGAGCAGCTGCCCCCTGCCGTGGTCCTGTGAGCCACCAAAGACCCCACTGGGTGCCTGCATGTCCCTGTCTGGGCCAGCCCAGGGCCACGCTGCCTGGTTCCTCACATTGCCTCCTCTGTGGCCACTGTCCAGCCCCCGCTTTCTTCTCCCCACAGCATTGGCACCTGCTGTTCCCACTCTGGGGTTCTCAAGTCCATTAACAGATATTGTCGCATTTTACCCAACGCTGATTAAACATAAACAATCCAGAAAAGCAATTCTGCCCAGAAAGATGTGGTTTCCCTTTGTCTACACACCTTGTGTGCTGTGAAAGACCTTTCTTTGTGTCGCTACGTGTGAAGTTAAGTGGGAGCTGATGTATCCCATGGAAACACGGTCCCGAGAAGACTAAATCTAATTATATTCCGCTCCACATCCCAGGTGGCAAAACTCCTCTTTGTGGTTTTCTTCAATTCAGGGTAAAGTGGAAGGAAGTCTGTTGGGCCTGGAATCTCCTTACCTGCCAAGACTGTCCAGCAGCCTGCAGCCTTGGCCTGCAGACTTTAGAGAACTGTGTGGAGCATGGAGTGGGACTTTGGCCCCTCCCTCCCTGTCTTCCTTCCCTTCTCTTTTTTCGTTTTGCAGTAATTAGTGTTGATTCCGTCTCTTTTCCTCTCTCCACACACACACATAAACACATTCTTTGTCTTCTTTTCTTTCATTGCAAATGATAACGAATTGATTTTGACTTTTTCCATTTTCTTTATATATGAAGATATAACAAATATATAGATGTAAGCATTTCTAAAGGTCAGGAAAGCTGGCAGGGGCTTTGTGAAATCTCCATGAGGTCAGTTTCATCGCTGAGCAGCCCCAGAGGGCTGGTCTTCAGATCCAAGCTGATAGACGGCACCTGCCCCTTCCCCCTGGCAGAGCGGTGCCACAGAGGCGCAGAGCTGCTGTGCTGGGTGAGTCCCGCTCCTGAACAGGACTTGGAGTGGAGGCCTGTGCCAAGGTCAGTGCTGCAGTGCCGCTCTCCCTGGGACCCTCAACAGTCTGTGCTTTACGTAGAGGTTTGTTAAGAAGCCTTCAAGACAGAATTGTCTTCAGAATATGGACAGGGTCAGCCGGTTACAGCCTGAGGGGCAAATCCAGCCTGCCAACTAATTCTGTAAAGATAATTTTATCAAAACACAACCATGCCCATTTGTTCACACATTGTAGCTGTTTTTGTGCTACAAAGGCAGCTGAGGAGTCTTAATAGAGAATGAATGGCCCACAAAGCATAAGATATTTACTATTAGGCTTTTTACCCACAAAGCTTGCTGGTCCTGATGTAGGAGCTTGCAGTGGAGGGAGTGGTCATTCTGTTTAGTGATTGAGGGGGTGGAATGCTCAAGAATCCCTCCCCAGAGGAGCACCCTTGGACGAGCAGCAGGTGTGAAGCCAGCAGCAGGTGTGAAGCCAGCTGCAGGTGTGAAGCCAGCTGCAGGTGTGAAGCCAGCAGCAGGTGTGAAGCCAGCAGCAGGTGTGAAGCCAGCTGCAGGTGTGAAGCTGTTTTCCTAATTTTTCAGGGTCCAGAGCCCATAAATCATCACGAGGAAAAACTTGGGCTGAGAACCCCTGCAGTTCCAATCCCCCCTTCAGTCCCCAATAAAGAAGACATTAGAATCTCAGAGGAATTTAGAACCTCCTGAACCTCGGCATTTATTTTACTCCCAGCAATGGTGTCATGGAAGCCCCCAACTCTCTGCTAAACAGGCAAATGTAAAGTAGCTGAGCCCAGAAGCCAAGCTGGGTTGAAGTGGATAATGTGGAAAGAGACGTAGTAGAAGGGCAAGAGCCTATGGGGCCCCACGTAGCCAGGCTCCAGGAAATGCTCAACCCTTCAAAAAACGTGGATGTCTGCCTTTCCCCAGGTCTCATGTTTCCACACATCTCATGAGCAGTGGCACTGACTGGCTTTTCAAAGATGTGCACACCTCCCAGTGGGCAGCCTTGGAAAATCGTGTCTCCTGGACCAATAGTGTTCAGGCATGATTGCCTGTTATAAAAGAATCAGGTTCCTTAAGCTCAGGGTTCCTCTTCTAGAACCCAGCCCACTGGGTGTGCTGGTGTCACCACAATGCCTCTTTGCTTTGCCTGTGGGAACTGGGGTTATGGAACTCATGCAAAAATGCTGCTACTGTGGCCACTGCTCTTGCCGTGTGTAATAAATTGTTCTTTGTTACAACTTGGGGTTTTGTGGTTTCTACCAGAATCCATGAAACTGTGGTAGATTGACTTGCTGACCTGCACGTATAGTTAGACCTCAGAGCCTTCACTGTTCCTGACTACTGTGCCCTGCTGTGTGCAGGGTTATGATACATACAGACTTGAGACAGCTTCTGACACCAACAAGTTTACAGCCTGCTTAAGAGGCGAGGCACAGGCCGGGCATGGTGGCTCACGCCTGTAATCCCAGCACTTTGGGAGGCTGAGGCGGGTGGATCACGAGGTCAAGAGATCGAGACCATCCTGGTCAACATGGTGAAACCCCATCTCTACTAAAAAATACAAAAAATTAGCTGGGCATGGTGGTGCGTGCCTGTAATCCCAGCTACTCAGGAGACTGAGGCAGGAGAATTGCCTGAACCCAGGAGGTGAGGTTGCGGTGAGCCGGGATCGCGCCATTGCACCCCAGCCTGGGTGACAAGAGTGAAACTCTGTCTGAAAAAAGAAAAAAAAAAGAGGTGAGGCATAAACCCTTTACTACGAAGAATGAATGGTACTTGACTGCCAAGTTAGTGATGCATCAGGCAGGAAGGTGGTGTGCTTATGCTAGCTGAAGAACTGTAGGAAGACGAGGAACATGAGAAAGGAGAATGCAAAGCAGCAGACACTCAGGGGCAGAGTACCCTGAGCTTGCCATTGTTCATGTCATGGACAGCCATGAGAATGCAAAGTGAGCAGGGCTGCTCACACCTCAGTGTCCATGGGCTCGTTTGACAGGACTGAGTCACTTGCCCACCCACCACCCTGACTCCAAAGAACAGTGGTCAAAGTCGGGCAGAGGGGTGTCTCTTCGTTGCCCCAAATATTGACATTCAGCACTCCATCTACAAAGATATTTTTAAAATTTATTTATCTATTTTTTTGAGACAGAGTTTCGCTCTTGTTACCCGGGCTGGAGTGCAATAGCGTGATCTCGGCTCACTGCAACCTCCGCCTCCTGGGTTCAGGCAATTCTCCTGCCTCAGCCTCCTGAGTGGCTGGGATTACAGGCACGTGCCACCATGCCCAGCTAATTTTTTTTTTGTATTTTTAGTAGAGATGGGGTTTCACCATGTTGACCAGGATGGTCTTGATCTCTTGACCTCGTGATCCACCTGCCTCGGCCTCCCAGAGTGCTGGGATTACCGGCTTGAGCCATCGTGCCCGGCCCCATCTACAAAGATCTTAATCTACACTGTAGAATGGACAGAAGGCTGGCCCTCTGGCCTGGAGAGTACCAGAGCCCTTGAGGCAGGAGGAAGACCATTCATTCTGTGCTTCTGGAGAAGGGTGGGAGGTGGTGGACGTGAGGGGCTGAATTTGTGTCCCTTCCAAATTCACATGCAGAAGCCCTAACCCCTAGTAGCTCAGACTGTGACTGTATTTGAGATGGGGTCTTGAAAGAGGTAATTAAATGAAAATGAGGTCATTGGGGTGGACCCTCATCCAATATGTCTGATGTCTTTATGAAGACAGGCAATTAGAATACCGACAAGCCCAGAGGGAAGGCCACAGGAGGACACAGGGAGAAGCCAAGGAGAAGCCCCGGAGGAACTGTGCTGGCACCTTCATCTTGGGCTTCGGTCTTCCAGAACTGTGAGGGAAGAAATTTCTGCTGTTGCTGGGCACGATGGTGCATGACTGTAGTCCCAGCTAATTGGGAGGCTGAGGTAGGAGGATCGCCTGAGCCCAGGAGTTCTGGGCTGTCATGTGCTATGTTGATCAGGTGTCTGCACTAAGTTTGGCATCAATATGGTGACCTCCTGAGAGTGGGGGACCACCAGTTTGCCTAAGGAGGGGTGAACCGGCCCAGGTCAGAAATGGAGCAGGTCAAAACTCCCGTGTTGATCAGTAGTGGGATTGCCCCTGTGAATAGCCACTGCACCCCAGCCTGGGCAACATAGCGAGACCCCATCTCTTAAAAAATAATAATAATAATAAAGAAATTTCTGCTGTTTAAGCCCCTCACTTGGTGTTTTGTTACAGGGGCCCTAGCAAACTCAGACACTGGGAGATGGGGACAGCTTGGGACAGCCTGGGAGGGGATCAGGTGTGCCCCAGCACTGCATTCTCAAAATCCCCTCCCTGTTTACTGTTGAGGAGCCCTTTGTGTAGCCCCTGGATTCCCCACAAAGGGGTGTCTCTCATGGTGTGGGACCACACCTGCCTTTGCACGGCTGAGAGCTGCAGCTCCCAGGGGTTGGTGTTTCTGGCACATCACCCTGAGGTCTCATCACATCCTCAGGCCACCATTGCCCTGTGTTCCCCGATCCTGCCAGCCTCTCCGCTCCCTCCACATCTGACTCCTCAGGGTCTACAGGACATCTCCTCACTCCCTAAGTGCTGCCTAAAGGGGCAGCCCACCCGCTTTGTCCTCACAAAATACGTCTCTTCTAGTGTAATCTCTATAATCAGGCAATTCTAGCACAGTCTTTTGTAGTATAATTTCCAGTAAATCTCCCAGGCTTTTCTGGTATAATCTCTTCCGGGAGCTCATATGCTAACAAGCCAGAAAGAGGAGCTTCTGCTTTCTGCTTTGGATTTTGGCCAAAATTGTCAGAGGCAGAGAGAGGCTTCTGAAATGTCTTTCCATCAAGGGCCCAGCTACATGGTCTAAAAGAGGAAGTAGAAATACTTGGAAATCAGGAGCCACTTAAGTCTGTTCGTTATCTCGTCCTGATGACATTCACAGCTCCTACCAAGTGTCCTCTCTCCCCTGGAGCAAGACCCTGCCACTCTGTTCTGAGATCTTTTCTTCCTGTTTCCACCTAGGGCAGATGACTCTGCTACCATGGAGTGAGGCTTTACAGGAGCGGCCCTATCTCAAACTGGGCATGTCTGTTCCTTGGGATGTGTCACAAGAACAGATGGGGTGAAGGAGGGAGAGACCGGCCAGGGAGAATGAAGGAGTAGTAGAAACTCTATCTTGCTCTCTCTATTGGGGGGGCAGGGCACGGGATTCTCTGCGCAGGTCACACCCCCCACGGATAGCACAGTGCTGACCTGTTGGCACTAGCAGAGCAGG